AGCTAACATTAGCTACAACAGTCCTGGTACAGACACCAGAGCTAACATTAGCTACAACAGTCCTGGTACAGACACCAGAGCTAACATCTGCTACAATAGTCCTGGTACAGACACCAGAACTAACATTAGCTACAACAGTCCTGGCACAGACACCAGAGCTAACATTAGCTACAACATTTCTGATCCAGATCAACAGTGTACAGTCCACAATAGACAAATACAAAGTTAAAATAAAACCTTTTTTTTGTATTGTGTAAAATTGTGATCTAAGATAAGAATAACAAAAACAGAAAAATAATATAGAAAATACAAAATAATGAAGAAATAAGAAGATATCATATCATATCATACCACTGCTACTTATAATATACTAATACAGTGGAACCTCGCGATATGAGCGTCTCGACATACGAGATTTCAGATACGAGCAAATCTTTGATATGAGTAAAGATTTGAGATATGAGCACGCTTACAGACACTGAAGCTAGGTGGCCGAGCATTCAGAGCACTCTGTCCTAAGTCCTAAGAGAGTGAGTGGTAAGGATGGTAGTGAGAAGAAGTAACGCACGATGACCATGGAAATAAAGCATGAAATTGTCCATATATATAAGCGTGGTGCCCGCTAAACAAAGAATACAAATCGAAAAACAAAACAAACAAAAAAACCCCCCATAAATTAATTAATAAAAAAATAGAAAAGTAAAAGAAATACTTATGTTAAGTTAATGTAAGTTACGTAGTGTACGTGTAAGGTACGTTACCACATTTTATTTTATATCACATATAATTTTTGTGTTAGCACTAATAAGGGAGTTTTTTAGAGGGCTGGAACGGATTCATTTTTTTTTTCTGTTATTACTTATGGGAAAAAATGATTCAAGTTATGAGCACCTTGAGTTAAGAGCTTGATCCTGGAATGGATTATGCTCGTATCTTGAGGTTCCACTGTATATACACGCGTAATGTACAAATACTTCACGTTCCAAAGTTACTGATACAACACGTTCTCTAGTCAATTCTGTACAACTTGGATGGTACATTAAGAGCAGATTAAGGGTCTGGTCTAATTGGCTGTGGACAGGCCGCTCACTGGCTTCACATTTATCATTGTCACTCTTCACCAGCCACATCTTAATGAAATCTCAAGAGTTTTGTTGTAAGATCACATAACAAACTATTTAGCAATAATAAACAAAGTCACTTAAATTATCAGGCACAATTTTTCCTTCTGTATTTCTGGCTAACCTTTACTGTTTTTACCAAAGCTATGTTGAAAAACTTTAAACCAGACATGGATTTATTTAACTGTTAAATTATTGTTTGTTTGTTTTTTATTTACTTTACAATAATTCTTTTTTGCACACCTAGGTATTTTGTTTTAACGTCAAACCTTTATCTTGACTATGTTCTAGCTACTGGTGTGTATTTATTTACCTTTATATATTAGATATTAGTGATTCTGTTCTGTTTATTGTTGTTTGTGTACATGCACCGCATCTGCATCGTTACATTATCTGTTCATTAACCTGCGAGACTTCAGACTTCAGGGCAGTGACACAACGCACAGCAGCATCAGCTGTCATTTCCTGTCAACAACACATCAGCTCCTGCTTTCACACAGTCGTGGTTTCATTCAGCTGGGGTTTAGAAGGAGCATGACAAGAATGTGTTGCCTATTTTATTAGGTGATGGTGGTAAAAATGCATAAAGAGGCTCATTTTATATGTTGTATTTTTCTGAATAATTATGTTAATTGTACAGGTTTTATTCCTAGTTTAAATACTTAAACTAGAAAAATACTTGATAGATAGATAGATAGATAGATAGATAGATAGATAGATAGATAGATAGATAGATAGATAGATAGATGGATAGATAGATAGAGCTCGTCATTGGCTGCCATTGACGTCTATATACGTCAATTGTGTGAGGCGGGGAACGATCCGACGACGCTTGTCAATAAATATCAGGCCTGTAAAACAGATGCACTAACGAACTGATCCACTTGGTGGCAGCAGTGTTATTTTGCATAGCAGAGTATAAACTACATATATTTGTGAATAAATTATTGTTTTGCTATCAAAAGCCCTTTCTTAGTGTTGCTTTTGCTGTTTAACTGGAAACCACGTTTCAGATGTTTAATGTGTCACTAAAGCAAAAAATATCAGCGTCAAAAACATTGTTCTTCACGACACATTACTAAAGAACAGAAAAAATTAGAAACATATTTCCTGATGGAAGCCTATGGGGTTTGCATAGCACTATTTGAGTAAAACTGAATTTTTGTGGTTAGCAGTTTGAACCGAAATACGATTTGTCCATCAATATGAAATGTAAGAGTACATTTTTTTTAAAATAAATACACTGACTTTACAGAACTGAAACTTTTACTTTTATTTGCACTTTCGTGTTAAGTCACAGCACAGTTATTTTTCATTCTGTTACAGGAATGGAGAAGTGGAACCGCAGCAGCAGTCGACAAAGGGGGAATCACAACAACTGGGCGAACTCTAAAAAAAAGAAGTTCTCCTTGAAAAACAGGAAGTATAACTAAATTACATCACAGGGATTGATGAAAACAGTACTTCAACAGCAGGGCAAAGACCATCCTGCTCCAGTATTCAGGGTTACTGTTCCAGTGAAGACTGTTCTTAGGAACTCAGCATTATGATCATTAAGGGTGTGGTGCTTCTCCTCCTGGTGGCACTCTCCAGTGCTGTCGTCTACGAGCGTTGTACCTGGGCGAAATTGCTGAAAAGTCAAGGGATGGACGGATTTCATGGCATCAGCCTCCCCAACTGTGAGTAACGTCAATAGTCAAGTAACACAGGTTACAACAGGTACAGTATTTGGGCACCTAGAATTGATGCTGGTATTACAAGTGAGAGATTGCCACTCATAACTATTTAATTTTTCTTCCTTTTGGCAAATGGAAGAGATGTCGCCTTCCTTGTTTTTTTTTTGGCAGCACTTCTCAATTTGGAAAAATTTGTGTGTGTGCAGGGGTCTGTCTGACTAACTGGGAATCACACTTTAACACCAACGCCATTAACCACAACCGTGATGGATCCACTGACTACGGAATCTTCCAGATAAACAGTCGTTGGTGGTGTGACGATAGAACGACAACCACCTCAAATGCCTGCAACGTCGCTTGTGAAAGTAATGAGGCTCAGCCTACAACATGTTGATGATGACATCCATTACAGTTGCTTGGGTTTTTATGTGTAGCCTCCTGTTGTCATCACAGCTCTACGCAGCAGTGTCTCTGCATCGATCAGATGCGCCAAAAGGGTTGTTCAAGATCCTCAAGGCCTAAGTGCATGGTTAGTCGAAATTTTGTGATCTTAAAACAACTGAACTGATTTCTTTTTTTATGAGACATTTCTTGATTGTTTCAGGGTGGCATGGCGTGTTCACTGCCAGGGCCGAGACCTGAGCGAGTACATCAGAGGGTGTGTCCTGTGATCCCCACATGGATAATGCAGCACTGAGTCATACAGAGTCAAAGACCCGAATGGTCTTTTAAATCACTTTAGTGGATAATTATCTTCTCCTGACACAGCAAATCTGATCTATGTGATTATAAAACAAACTTCATGATAATCTTTTCCTTAATCCTTAAAATCGCATTAAAACTCTTCTATTCACGAGCCCTGGGTCTGACTTTGTTGGTTGTCATGGTCTACTGTGCACTAAGGTCAAAATACCTGATATTTGGTCCAGGACCATCATGACATTAAAAGAAATCTATAAACTACAACTGTGAAATCTGGTCCATTATCACAAACACAATTAGGATTAATTAAACACAAATTTCTTTTAAAATAGTGTACAAAAATTAGCCAAAAAATGATCAAAACATCATTAAGCATGGACGCCACTAGGCGGGGCCCCTGAATGTGGCTGTTTATTTCTCTGTATCTCATACCTGCTAAGTTGGTTATTCTGAGGTTCTAAAACATCCTACTACCAAAAATTTAAAATAACTCTATTAACAGTAGGTGTAAAAACTGTAGAGCATACATATACATTAATTTCGGTTCAAATGTTGAAACATTATTTGTTCAAATATTAGTTCACCTGCCACACAAGACAATTTGATTTTTAAATTAACACTTTGTTTACAGTTGGTGTAGAACTGTTAAACACACAGTTACAACATCAGTTAAAACATTTAAAAGACATGCCAATCAGTAAAAATGTGAAAAACATTCTTGGATAGTTCACAGAATGGGCACTCATTCACAATATTATGAGAAAAAAAACGCCTAGGATGAAATGGCACCGTGTGAAATTCTCCACTGGAGGCTTGTATGCAGATGACTCATTTGATCTATGGACCGAAATACATTGCTTTTTTGAAAAAAAAAAAAAAAACTCTGATGGTTCTAGATCAGATAAGCTTGGGTCATCTGAACAGGTTCCCATTCAACAAGTTTGGTTAAAATGGTGATGTTTGATCAAATTTGAAAATGTCTCATCAAATTAAAGAGACCAGTCTGTTTTGTTAACCATACTTGGTCAAGCTCTAACATTATCATATCATACATCCATCCATCCATCCATCCATTTTCATCCGCTTATCCGTTACCGGGTTGCGAGGGCAGCAGTCGCCACCCAAATCACATTGCACCGTACCAACCCCCCAAACCTTCCTGCAGGTGGTGAGTCCACTGGAAGGTACCAACCGCCCTAACCGGGATTCAAACTTGCCCAGGAGGTGAACCCTGGGGTTCCACACTGATGACAGAGACATTGCCTCTGGGATAAAGCGCCACATCATATCATACACCAATTAATAATTAATATAATCATTTCTCACCATTCATCTTCAAACTCATCATGTTTAACTAATCTATGCCCCACCTATTGGTGAAGTAACCAAAGGTGACTGCCGCAAAACCAAAAGTTAAAGAGCTATTCTCACGAGGGGCCTATCAGCACATTGTTGTCATGAAGACAACAGATTGTAATTATCTCAAAACCACTGGTACAAATATGTATAATCTTAATATTTACGCTGTCTAATCTGAATTTAATTCTAGTCCTAACTCCAAGCTAAGTCTTTGACCTCAAAATACTCAGTAGCAACTTAGAAAATGTCTCCACAAGGACAATCATCCTCACCCAAAATTATGTCCCCACCACTATAGCTATACCAGTATACACAAATACACTCACAGTAATTGATTATCTAACCTTTTGACCCCAATCTCAGAGCATGTCTAATGGATTGTTTGTGTAAAAGAAAATGATTAAATTTGTTTTTAAATCTTGTTGATGCCCATCAATATCAATGATATTTCCAGAAAACCTTATCCATTATTCCATTATTCTTCTGTTTGAATAAAAAATATGACATCGCTTACCTGTTGGTCACGTGGTCGCTCTCCACTTCTGACCCATATCAGCTCTGCACCGCTCTGGTTGGTGCTCAGTACTATAACTCCTTTCTAGAGACTTAATCCAGTAATCGAGTGATGTTTGATTTTTTGTTTTATAGAGTCTCCTGAATTTGACCACGCCAACTCTGACCGTGTACCTCTGTAAACATGCTGGAAACCGTCCTGAACCACGCTCTGCTTCTTTCCTCCTTCTACTTGCTTCTGGTCTAAGCTCCACACTTCCATCGCTGCCAGGTGTTATAGTGTAACGCTCTTCACGGTTATGTCATTTCAGTTAATTATTATTATTAACAATTAATCTATTTTTTAATCTCACCTAATAAATACTGAGAAAAGCCCTCAACTTAAGGTGTTTTTAATCATTTATAAATTCATTACATTATTGTGGCAGATCAAAATATTGATATATAACCAAAAATGGCTTTATAAAGTAATTTATTGTTTTTAACAGATGTGAACAGATGCAGTGATAGACATTTACATTCCACTGTATTTGAGACTAGTCTCAAGTGCTGCCTACAACTTTTAGTTAGACCACCATGGAGGGATTATTGCTGTTCTTTTCTCGAGTTTGTTTTTCTTTTCACCATGGTACATCTTTGTGATTTTGGTCGTCACTGTAGTCCTGCACGATGGCTTGAGTGATGGGTCATTGGACGCGGTTGGCAACACATCTCTTAAACGGTCGTCGACTATGTTTATCGGCCTGCAATTCATCGCTATCCACTTGGCTAGAACATTTGCCAGCCTGTCGGTCGCAGACCTCCTCATACGTGGCGTGTTCTCCTCAAGTTTAGTTTGGTGAAGAGCTTTGCTAACGTCTTCGCTGCGACTGGGTGCTTTGCGTTGATGCGGTATGCTAAACTTGAGCTGCTTCGGTGGTAAGCAAATTCCTTCTTTCAATGAAGTCATCAGGACGTTTTTGTAAATGTAAATTTACCGTTCATTAGACGGACAACCCTCACAGGCTCCTCATTCTCATGTCTCCTCGCCGCTCTTCGCTCTGTCCTCAATGGGAGTCAGATTATGCTAAACAAGCACAAACACAATCCACTTCAGGTGTGAATCACCATTGTTTCCCACCCCCAGCAACTCAAGCACAAGAAACCCAACAAATAAAAACGGAATTCTATATAAACAAAATGCAACTCACATATAGCAACAGTAGAGAATATAAATGAGAGTAACGGGATTAAACAACATAGTAAGTCGCTAAATGTGTCTGTAATTAATTAATTGCAATTACCGCGTTTGACACCCCTAGTTGTAATTCCTGTTAGAGATATCTACAATGTCATCTCGCCAAGTCAGTCCGTAATTTAAGATATCTGTAAAGAAGCATGTAGATATCTTGAATTTTAAGTTAATTAAAGATATCTTTAACTTGAGTAATGACAGTCAGAATCAAAACTGTAGATATCTAGAACTGGAATTACAGGTATCTATATTTCAGTTGCAGATATCTGTAACTTACGCCGTGGATATCCCAAACTGAATTGTGGGTATGTAATGATTAAACCCATACAAATGAATGGCAAATGTGACATCATTTGCCCTGGGAAGAATGTTGTTGTGGATATCAAGAATGACAATTGCGGATAGGAAGCATGTTGTTGCGGATATCTGAAATGCCTTTTGACTAGGCAAAACTGAGTTAGAGATATACTGTATATACAGATACAATACATATCCAGCTTAGTGTTTAAATGTTCTGCCCTATGTGTCAACCTGCTGGAATTCACGCAAAAGAAGTCTCATGACATCAAATGATTGTCGAGCTGTTTAGCAGGAATTCCAAATGGGCGGGGCTTGTCAACAAACTCCGTCTTTATACTTCAATTGTTTTAAAAATATAAATATGTTTGTTATAACGTTTTCCATCAAACATAAGTACAATAAAGTTAGAACACTGGGTTGGTTTGAAAACGCATTTTAACGATTAAGTAACGATTGTAACAGAAGTAACAGTGAGACCTGCAGCAGTAACTCAGTTATGACCATTGATCAATACACAAAAAACTATCAGCAGATGTGACTAGTTTGACTAACAAAGGCTCTAAACTTTGAATGACTGTTGGAATTTCTATAGAGGCATACATGGCGTTCATACACTACTCTCCTGGACATCAAATCATTTTTTTCTTTTCAAGGTCCAATATCCTAATAAAAATGATGTTATTGTACATTCAAGAATCTTTAAGACACAGAAACCTATACAATAATATTAAATATGAATATGTTTTTCAGCCTCTGCTGGCCACCAGAGGTATTGTACTTAGAATTTTATTTTCGTTACCGTTTTAAAAAAAGGACAGAGAAAAAAAAAAATCACAAAAGCACCATATAAGCGTGAATATAAATTTTATTTACACAAATTAAAGAAATATAGACATAAAGTTTGTTCTTAAAGGGACAGACCTGGGTTTTTGAGGTGAGGTAAAGAGGATCCAATGAATATGAATGATTCTGGATAAACTAAAAAAAAAAAAAGACGTGTGGGGAAATGTTTTTTAAAATCCTGACCACAAAAACAGTTTGTGCTTCTGTAACAAAATAGTACTTCCGCAAAAAAACAATACATTATTTTTAGGAAGTAACAAAAAACAGTTAAAAGTGTGACTTGCCGTCAGGATGCACAGGAGGAGCAGTCCATATTTAACAGAGTATGTACAGCGTACTGTAGATGTAAGTATGGTATGTGCATTTTGATATATATGCATGTATTCATATATGTATATATATTTATACACACACACACAAACACATATATATATTTTATTTACCTGTGGTTGCCTGTACATCAGTCACAAAAACAAACAAATGTAAGTCATTTGCCAAAACAAAGATGGTTCTTTTTTGGCCCAAAGGTGGACCAAAAAACAAAAAAAATCTAGTCTGGGCATGAAGAGGTTTACATTCTAAATACCAAATGTGGACTGCTTCTGGTTTGTTATTTCTGATTGTATATGGACTATGTGGAGCAAGATGTACATCTTAGTACTGACCCAGACAAATATTCTGTGTTAGACACCACAGTAAACAGGTTTTTGATCAGTCTCTGCCTTGTGCTGAATTTGAAATGTTTTTCTTATACTTTTCCTGCACTAACTACACAGGGACACAGGGTGGTGCAACCACAAGGTGTTCCCACCACAGGGTGGCACATGGGGCAAACTGAAGAACCTCATTTAATCTTCTATCAAAAATTCTTGGACTGCCCCTTCACAGTTCCAAAGAAATTCTTTATTATTTCTCGTAAATACATTATGTGTCACAATCATGTCCAACCTGGAGAAAATAACCCTGAAGTAATCACATGACTTTACAAACAGCCAAACAGGTGGTTGAAGGTTCAGTAGAGTTCAGTTCAGTAGCAAAAGCCGTCCAGCAGTTTGCAAACCTGGTTTAAAATAAGCTCTCACCTGTTCTTCTTCTTCTTATTAGATATAAATATAAAGAGACAATGACAACTTCTACCTGAATCAGAGTTGTGAGACACTTTGAAGTTAGCAAAGTAAGAAATAAGTATTAACGGCTGGTTCACATCGTTTACTTATTGCTGTTTGGTTTTTTTCGTCCCATTTTCCTTCATCATTAACTGTTAAAAATCACCTGATGTCCTTCAGCAGAATCTGACAGAAGAAAATTGAGGGGGGCAGAAGAGTCTAGGATGTGGGATCAGTGCAGGGATTTTGTTGTGTGCATCAGTCTGTTTGTTTTGGTTTGTCGTTAGCAGGAAAATAGATAGAGATGATGTTGAACCTGAGGCTGGTGGACCAGAAGAGTCTGTGGAAATAAAGAAAAAAGGGGATAAAGGAAAACGTTCTCTCCTGACATATAGCACAGAGACATGAAACAGGGTCCTTGCTGACAGGAGAAGAAACTGACGCTGAGAAGTCAAAGGATGAAAACAGACAAGAAGGGTACAAGCTCAACAAAGAGACACTGCACTGGTCCTTTAATCTGTGTGTGTTTGTGCTGATTCAGACTCCACCGGAATTGGTTTTAAAAGCGGCAGGTAATTACTGCCTATAGAGACACAAGAGAGAATTATGTGCTTCAAAGACGATGCTGATAGCTGCTGTGTGTGTGTCTGTGTGTCCTGTCACTCACTGTGGGCCTTAGAAAATTGTGATAATCTGCTGCTTAATTAAGCAGCAGATTATCACAATTTTCTAATTATTATTATGGAGTAATTAACAATGGAGCACTGATTGTCAACCTATTGAAACACCATATTAAAAATATAAAATCTCTCACTAACATCGACACACATATTCCCACACACAGTAACTATGGTGTCCACAGGAACAGTTAAGACAATGGAGCAAATCTTCAATAGTTAATTTAAAGCAGTAAGAAACAGAACAACAGTAACGACTGTGAATAAAATCAAAAAAACACATACACACCTTCTGTATGTTTTTACTCTTCTCTAATATTTATATTTATATTTATATATGTGTGTATATATGTTTTTAATATTTATAGTCAAGGTTGGTTTGTCAATGATTTTTGTAAACAAAGAATGTCCCCCTGAGTGAATAGAGACATGAGGACGGCCCAAGGGCGACCATGTCAGTTGATGGTGATGATGCTTCCCGCTAGCGACACTTTCAGGACGAAATGTAATCTGACTTTACGGGTTGACTTTATAATGTGATTATAATAAAAACAAGGTATTAATATTCAGAACGTTGAGTCTGTGAATCCGCTGACTGTTACTGTGAGACCACTGTTCTAACCACACACACGCACACAGTTTTTGGTCCATTTGTTTTCTGCAGAGTGAAAATCTACCATTAATGCAGATTTATGCAGATTGGCTGGATGGAAGTCGTTTGGTCAAAAAGAGCCGTCAAGAGCTGAGGAGTGATTACTTATGGTTTTTTATAGAAAGAGGAGTGTGCAAAGGGGCATGAGGGATAGGGGGGAGAGACAGGGAGAGAGGGAGAGAAAGAGAGAGAGAGAAAGACAGCGAGAGAGGGCAGCAGCCAACACACCAGTGCACACGTGTACGTGTGTGTGTGTTGTGTTGAAATAATCAGTTCTTATCTCTAACTGCCTAGAAACCTCCGGCTGTTTTCTGTGGTCCCGACGTCTCTCTTCCTATTAATTTATTCATGTTGTCTTTATGTCTGAGGTGCTCTCTCATCTCGTTCGCTCTCTCTCTCTCTCTCTCTGCTGGGTCTGGTTTTTATTTATTTATTTATTTCAAATGCTCAGCTCTTGGAAGGATGAAACACTCCATGTCTGCAGCCTGCAGGGCTGTGGTCCACACTGCACAAAAACAGAACAGAGACTGAACGGTACAAAATAAACCTGACCTGATCCCAGTGTCTGAGCAGCAACAACTCTGTTGCAGAGACAGAGGCCACGACAATTATGTCTTTCTGCATATAGATAGCTAGATAGGTAGGTAAGTAGGTAGCTAGGAAGGTCATTGTTAGCTGGCTAGTTAGTGGATGGATGGATGAATGGATGGATGAATGGATGGATAGATCGATAGAGAGACAGACTGACTTCATTGATCCCAGGCTGGGAAATCACAGTGTAGCAGCAGCATTACATACAGTGACAATAGGAAAGGAAAGGAAAGTGAACTAATTGTCATTGTGACACAGCACACCACGAAATGTGACCTCTGCTTTTAACCCATCACCAAAGTGAACAGTGGGCAGCTTTAAGCTGCCCGGGAGCAGTGTGTGGGGACGGTGCCATGCTCAGATCAACTCAGTAACTTGGCAGATTAGATTAGATTAGATTAACTCGGTAACTTGGCAGCTGGTAGACTCAAACCTGAAGCCTTCCTGACCTGCTTCCTTAACCATTAAGCCACCACTGCCCAATAACAATGAAAACAAAAAGAAGACTCACAACCTAGCCATGACCCACACCCCCCTAAATTGAAATACTATTGAGAACCTATTTTTTTCTGTACTGTATGAGATGCTGCCACCTAGTGACTGGAGGCTGTGCTTGTTATCATTCAAGCACTACAGCAGCGCTACACTTATGTCCAGTGTGCCATATTACACTGGAAGCCCCTTGTGCTACCCCTGGTGATGGCCAACAGATGTTTCATTCACGTAACTAGCGACTGGTGACAAGAGAAGAGTGACCAGTGACCCATTACTGCTGAGTAGTGACCTGTGACTGGTAATTAAGGGCCGTTGACCAGTGTGTGTTTACTTCCTGCAGTTCTAACCTTGTGTTCTAATTCTGCAGTGGTCAAAAACAGAAGTGAAGAAAAATGTTTTTTTTTTTTGTAAGGAGAAGAGATATAGTCTGAGACTAGCACAACAGTAGTTGTGGTTGTGATTGTAGCTGCGGACTCTGAGGACCTGAGGAAATGAAAGGATGATGAATTAATGTTTGAACCTGAAAAAGTGAATGATTTTTAAACTGCTTGTGTTTACAGACTGAGCAGTGGAAAAGAGGCAGATGTCAGAATGAAGATTAGGGCATTTTAACCTGATCCAGGTTGTTTTAACTTTTTTCCACTTTTTTTCAGACCAAGGACTCAAAGAATTACAGGCTTTATACTCATTACACCAGAGTGCTGCCAAGGACTTTTTTGCTACAGTCTCACAAACACACACTACTGGATTAATACTCGTGTCCTTACACGGCCATTGTCTTGCCACCAGGCTGCAGCAGTTGTAGATTTAGTTTTAATTTTCCTCAAACCCAGAGCTGCGCTGTGAAGCGTCCTTACACACTGTGTAACTGAGTGAACCTGATGGGAGGTGTTTGTTTAAACTTTAAAGCTTCACTGCTCATAATGGTTGACAGGAGCAGTTACTGTTTGTATGTGTTCTGATTGGAGATATGTACAGGTAGATTCTCCTGCAGACTAATTTATAGACTGGTCTTGTCTTGTACATGTTCTAGGTTCTATTTTTAATCCTTGGGGCAGTGGTGGCTTGATGGTTAAGGAAGCAGACTTGGGTCTGTAAGATATCAGGTTCGAATCCACCGTGAATTTTTTTTGCTATCCTTTAGCTTTTCCTGGCCTAACATTTAGTTGTTTTGAGCTCCATTTGATCTTTTTCTACTTTCCTCATTTTTGCTTTTCTCTAAATCAGTGGTTCTTAACGTTGTTGGAGGTACTGAATCCCACCAGTTTCATATGGGCATTCACCGAAACCTTCGGTGATGCTAAGCGGGGGGCGTGTCTCTTGTCCTCCACTGAACCCCTGAGATTGATTCACCCAACCCCTGGGGTTCGATCGGACCCAGGTTAAGAACCACTGCTCTAAATACTGTACACTCCTGACACAATGTCAGCGGACTGAGCAATTCTTTTCTTTTATTAAGCTAACTTAAATAAATATTACATATTTGAATGTTAACCTTGTTTGGACCAACATGAAAGTGAATGTTTGTTTGTTTGCTGATTAATTTAAATTCAATTAAATAAATTACAACTAATTCATTTAATTAAATGGGGCAGTGGTGGGTTAGTGGTTAAGGAAGCGGCCTTGGGTTCGGAAGGTTTCAAGTTCGAGTCCACCAGCTGCAAAGTTACCACTGAGGTGCACTGAGAATAGCAACGTCCCCACACACTGCTCAAAGCTGCCCACTGTTCACTTTGGTGATGAGTTAAATGCAGAGGTCACATTTGGTTGTATGTAGTGGTGTATGTCACAAGGAGTTCACTTTAAATATTTGTTTGTTGACAGTTGATTTTTTTTTCTATTTTTTTCAGTTTTTTGATTGGAATGTTTTAGGGGTACTCTGTAATACTCTGTAACTCTTAGCTATGTAAATATGAACATGTATACTTTAACTAAGTCAGGAATTACTTTTTATTTATAATATCTTTTATCTTATTTTTTTTAGCAAAAAGTCTCCAGAGAAATAGACATTTTACACACTTTAACAGGAAGTTCACCACCTAGCGCTTGATTATTGAGTTTATTTATTATGGACTATTTTATCCCTCATTAGTGGAACATATGAGGATGAGGAGTAAGAGTAACATGTAACATGTTCATCATAAAATGTGTTGGTATCGTTATAAGAATCTGTTACAGGTATAAACATAACAGTATCACTGCGCCCCTTAGTCAGAGTTCAAATCTCAAAATATATGTCAAATAAGGATCTTTCTGTACAGTCAGGATCCCTGTCTGACATCTTACTCATGCTGACCTCTAACCTTGGTTCACAGTGGTCTTTCCGTCACCCTTCATCTGAATCTTCAGGCTGTTTTTCCTTCCAACAGTTCCCTGCCGTTTTCTGCAACCCGCGCCAAACCGTCAGCCATCAGTGCCTCCTCCAGACTCCTCCTGGCCTGGTGTACTTTCAGCTCCTGCTCCCTGTGATGACAAACAGACACACAGAAATAAACACACACTTATTATAGACAAAAACTTGATTTTGTTGCCATGGCGACGATTAACAAAGCAGATTTAACCCCTTTTCTTAGATTAATTATTAAACCATAACATGTTTAACTCTTTCATTTTTGTAACTGATCAAATATATAAAAAATATATATATATTGTTGAAGAAAACTGGAGAAGAATGGAAAGCTCGGGAATAAGGAGAGGGTGAGGGCGAGAGGGAAATTAAAATGAGAGGGTAAAGAGAAAACAGGAAAATTAAAAAAAAACAGTAGAGGATAATGACATTTAATGAAGCTGAAGGAAAGTAAAGAAACGAGGGAAGGTTTAAAAGAACGATTAAAGTCATGAAGTGGAAAAAAAAGGGAGGATAAAATTAAACAAGATCAGGCTGTGAAGTGAAGGGGAGACGAGGAGAGTGAAAGAGGAAAGAGGAGCGGTATGAGAGCAATTTAGGATTCAGCTGGAGGAGGGGAGAAGAGGGAGAATTGGAAATTAATGGAGGGGAGAGATAAGAAAAGGAGGAGGAGGAGGAGGAGGAAGGAGATGATGAAGAAGAAGAAGAAGGAGCCTGGAGGATGGGGGGTGAGAATAAGAGAAGGCAGATGAAGAAACAGAAAAGGTGAAAAAAAAATAACAGACAGTGGATCTTTGGAAGAGTGTAAAGGTGAGAAGGAATAACGGGGAGGAAAGAGGAAGCAGGACTGTGTGGGAAAGGAGGAATGATGGGAGAAAAGATGATGAAGGTGAGAACAGACATTCAGAACTGATAGAAGTAGAAAAGTGAACAGGGAAAGTATGTACAGTAGTGAGGAAAGAGAGATGGAGGAAAGGAAGGGGAATAAGAGTGATAAACAGGATACGGAAAGATAACAGGAAGAGGAATATGATGAAATGGATTAGAATAAAAAATAAAGAAAACGGGCAGAAATGAGAGGAAGAGGAAAAAAAGGGTGAGGGAGCAAATGACAAAGGGAGGTAGAGGAGTGTTCACACTACAAGGTTTAGTTAAACAGAGAAACACGGCTCGTGTTCCTACAGTGCCCTCTGCTGTCAGATGTTAGGAAGTGTGGTCTTTGAAAAGCATCAGAGAATTTAAACTAGTGACGCTTTGGCCCAGAGACAATGTCTCTGTCATTGGTGTGGAACCCCAGGGTTCACCTCCTGGGCAAGTTTGAATCCCGGTTAGGGCGGTTGGTACCTTCCAGTGGACTCACCACCCACAGGAAAGTTTGGGGGGTTGGTACGGTGCAATGTGAATTGGGTGGCGACTGCTGCCCCCGCGACCCGGTAACGGATAAGCAGATGAAAATAGATGGATGGATGGAATTTAAACTACACTAAAAGTACTAAAACTCAACTAAATTTGTTTAAATGCCACTTACATTCAACATGAAAAACTTTAAATCACTGATAATGATTGTACAATAAACAACAAATCTCATTTGTTCAGAGAAGATAAGATGATAAGACAGGTAACAACACATTCAGCAGCTGCTGTTTCCCTTCTCGCTTTCTCTTTCTCATGAACTGGAGAGTGAGATTCTGGTTTTACTTTACTGAGGTTGGTAACAGACAGAGAGGATTAAAATTATAAACTAAATTATATTTTATGCTTGAGTATTTAATTAAACGTCTAAGGGGACCAGATCTAGGTCCATGTTTTTACAACATGTTTACCATTTTTCTTTTTTCTTTTTTTACTAGTAGGAGTATGAGATCATTCTTAACAACATCAAACTGCAGATGGAATGGCTATCGGAGTATGTGCAAACAGAAGAAGTGGTAAAACTGTGTTTTGAGATTGCTTTCTTTTTCGAGTAAGAAAGTTCTGCTTTGAAAACCATGCAGCAAAGCCAAAGTAGCGTCAAGTGAGTTTGCCATCAACAGATGTAAAAAATAAGGTAAACTTTAAGTTAGATTTGTGCATTTCCTAGCGACATTTCTTAAGATTTTTCATATATGGATATTCATAATTAAATGCTGTTACTACGAGATAATTTATGGGTAGTATGAATGCTAATAAAATCTGTGTAATTATATTTTGCAGACAAAGTTTTACAGGGATTTACACTGTATCACAAGCTACAACACACGTCATTGTGCAAATTGTGAATGTGTTTTAATGTTTACAAAGTGTTGTGTTAGGTGCATATGTCTCATTTCCTCCAGAGCAAGACCCTCACCCAAACCACAACTGGATTTCACCTAGGCCAAATGCAGGACACTCACATATAACATACTACACATCTGATGAACAACAAGATTGGGGGAAGTGGGGTAAATTGCTTATATTAAAAGTAGCCTAATGGAAATTGCTGCTTTAATTTAATTATTTTAATAATTCATGTAACTTGAATGATCCAGGTTTTGAACAAGTGTGATACCGGTGTGTGACCACAGCGTGTACTTCTGATGTTGCTCACAGTGGCCCTCAGTGTGCTCAGAGAGCTTGTGTGTATGCCCAGACAAATGAAAAATTAGAGGGAACATTGCATATACCCCTCCCTGAACCACAACCTTAACGTGGTGGAGGGCCCCTGGTAGGGTCTCCCAAGGCAAACAGGTCCTAGGCGACGGATCAGACAAATAGCGATTCAACCCCCCCCCCTCCCCTTTGATGAAGAAAATAATTAAATCAAAGAGGTTCGCGCCCGGATTGACGTCACCGGGGCCCCACCCTGGGTAGGGGCTCGCAGGCGAGCACCTGGCTCCGGCCGGGCTCAGCCCAAACAAGTGACGTGAGCCCGCTTTCCAGTGGCTGTCCGAAGCTGCTGCTGTAAGGTCTCCGGTGCCTGTCGTGGTGGCAATCCCCGAACCCGGTGGTGGACACCGGAGGTAAAGGAAGTCATCAAGCTTAAGAAGGAGTCCTACCGAGCCTGGTTGGTTCGTGGGACTCCTGAGGCAGCCGATGGGTACAGACAGGCCAAGCGTACTGTGGCTCAGGTAGTCGCGGAAGCAAAAACTCAGGTCTGGGAAAAGTTCGGGGAGGCCATGGAGGAGGACTACCGGTCGGCCTCGAAAAAATTCTGGCAAACTATCCAGCCCTTCAGGAAGGAGAAGCAGTTTCCCACCACTGCTGTTTACAGAGGGGGGGCGGGGAGGAGGGGGCTGTTGACCTCGACTGAAGATGTTGTCGGGAGGTGGAAGGAATATTTCGAGGATCTCCTCAATCCCGCTGACACGCCTTCCGCGGAGGGAGCTGAGGCTGAGGACTCAGCAGCTGATCCTCCAATCTCCTGCGCTGAGGTCACAGAGGCAGTCAAAAAGCTGCTCGGTGGAAAGGTGCCGGGGGTGGATGAGATCCACCCTGAGTATCTCAAATCTCTGGATGTTGTGGGTCTGTCTTGGTTGACACGTCTCTGCAGCATCGCGTGGCAGTCTGGGACAGTACCTCTGGACTGGCAGACCGGGGTGGTGGTGCCTCTTTTCAAAAAAGGGGACCGGAGGGTGTGTTCCAACTATCGGGGGATCACACTCCTCAGCCTCCCGGGAAAAGTCTATTCCAGGGTACTGGAGAGGAGAATCC